CCCCATTCCCTGTCCCCCTGTGCCGCTGGGGGGGTAGGTAGAGAATCCAGGAGTGAAGCTGTGCCTGGGAAGAAGGGAGGGGTGAAGGGAAGGTGTTTTGAGATTTGGTTTTATTTCTCATTACCCTGCTCTGGTTGATTTGTAATAAATTAAGTTAATTCTCCCGAAGTTGAGTCTGTTTTGCCCGTGACGGTACTTGGTTGAGTGATCTCTCCCTGTCCTTATCTCGACCCACGAGCCCTTTGTTATATTTTCTCTTCCCTGTCCAGCTGAGGAGGACGGAGTGATAGAGCAGCTTTGGTGGGCACCTGGCATCCAGCCAGGGTTAACCCACCACAATAACATACAAATTAGTACAGTAGAATATGTATACGATTTAGAAATAAAAAATGTATTGGGGTTGAGCACTCACAAATTTTTTACTGATGGGGTGTGTGATCAAAAAAGGTGGAGACCACTGCCTTAGAACTTTCCTCTAGGTCCTTTACAGGAAGGTAAGACAGTCCTCACCCTAGAAATCTCACACACTGAGATGATGGGAAATGCCAGCAAAACCAAAGCAGCATTTTGTCTTCATTTTGGGAGAAAAAGAGAAAAGTTTGCCCTTCCCTCTCTGGGTGAACTTCACATGTTGAAAGGCTGGTACTCTACTAAAGTGTTTTTCCTCCTAATTCTCATGGTTTACTCCTTGCCACCTTCAATCCATCAAGAGTTAATGCTTTAACCACTAACATATCCATTTCCACACATTCTCCAACACTGGAAAAACATCCTCCTCCTTCATACCCCTCTCTGCAAATCCCCTAGCACCTTAAATACTTTCTCACAGTTGACAGCACCTTCCACCTTGCTGCATTTCTGTGCATCGCCCCCTCTTTCCTACAACCAGTCCTCCATCACTGAACATAAAATAATGCAGCAAAGATTTAGTATTGCAGGTGCTTTCTGTAACTTGAACTGGTGCTGTATTTCATCATCCTTTCCTTCCCAGGTAATGCCACCTTATCAATTCTGGCATGAATCACTTAACGAAACACAAACAAATTCACATTAAAAGTCTTAGCAGGTTACTAAAAAGCAGTGTTCCCGTTTCCTTCTGAGGAAAACACCACAATAAACAGATTTTGAGAAGATAGCTGAACAGGATTTAGTGAACATGAACTGGAACTCACACACTAGCATTCTCCCCTATATAAACTGGAAAAAATATAACCAAATCCACACGAGAACAGGGTCTAAGGATTGCAATTATTCCCACTGCCTCTCAGGCAGGGGAAAACCACATCAGCACTGCATATCCCTATCCCACACATCTGTGCATACATACATTCAAAACAAAAAAATAATTAGAAAAATGTGAGTGCAAGCCAGTTATCTGTGCACTCCCACAGGAAACCATCAGAAGAGACACTCTGCTCTTCAAACAACACAGGTATTTCCTGACCTAGAGAAGGCATGCAGAAGAAGATGCCTAAAGTCAAAACTGAAATATCAGGAAAGGACTGAAAAATTCTGAAGGTAATAGATTTAAGCTCCACCAAGCAGCTCGCTAGGTACCACGCACACTAGCTAAGGCTTTTTTAAAATCTCTGCTACACAGGCAGCCTGCAACAGACTAACAGAAAAGATAGCATATCCCAATGTAACACACATACAATCCCCCCTCCCCAACCAAACCAAACCAAAAACCAAACCAAAAACCAGCAACAATTCATAGTACCAACATACACATTAATTAATTGAATTAAATTAAAAAAGAATCCCCTCCCAAACCTCAGGAGAAACCCCTGTTCTCGCCGTATCAGCAGCCACCAATACCTCTTGCTGCTGGAAGCTTCCCAAGAAGCAGTGATGACTTGCACTTCAAACTCTGCCCACTTTCACTTTCTATATGTAAGCGGGCCAGCACATCAAAGACAACTATTCCCACCTGCTCCTGCCTCCCGTATACCTAATGCTGCCTAATTTCTACAACAAATCAAAAAAACAAAAAAACCCCCACCAAAATCTAGAAATCACAATCATTGCATGAATAGTTGCTGAAAAATCCTTCATGACGTTTATGCATTTATTTCTAAATATCAACACAGTGAGGACAAATAACTCGAGGAGGGGCGGGGGGAGGAATGATAGATGGACCCAAAAATATTCTGCAAGATATTTGCAGAGAGAGGAACAACTCTTCACCAGCAAAGCTGCAGATTCTATAGAAAAAGGAAAAGGAAAAAAAGAAAAAAAAGAAAGACAAACTAAAAATATTTGTCTAAAAGAAATAAGGGAAAACATGCATTAACTCATATATACAAATAGCACGAGAGCATGAAATAATCAAAATAGATGTTATAGGCAGAGAAAATTGAAAATATAACCCAAGCAAGACAACTCACAAAACAGATGAAAAAGAAAGCCTGAAACACATCAACAGCACAGCTGCCCCCAAAGCCTCTGCTGCTGCTGCTGCTTTCACCCCCGCTGAACCTTAACAGCACAGGAGCTGGGCTCCCCCCACACGCCTACTGCAGCCCTGGGAAAGAACCAGCTCCTCTTCCCTAGGGCAGGGCCACCTCCCGCTAGCACTTTGACAAGCACAACTGAAGTCCTCAGGAGAAAGCAAACAGAAAGCAAAACTGAAAATGGAAACAGGGAAATTCTGTCCAGATGATGATGATGAAAGGAAAGCCGCAGCACCACATAAAGCCGGCCACCCGGCAGCACCCCAAGCACAGCGCCCCCCCGCACCACCACCACCACACCAAGCCCGACCAGCCTCCTGCCCAGCACCACCCACGCAGCACCCACAGCCCCACCATGGCTGCGCCCGCAACCCCACAGCCCCGCCGGCCGCACGGCGCCACGGCGCTCCTGCTCCTCCTGCCGGCTCTCGCCACCGCCCTCGCCTGCCACCACCTGCGTCCCCGCGACGCCACCTTCCCCTGGGACAGCCTCCAGCTCCTCCAGGCCATGGCTCCCAGCCCGCCGCAGCCCTGCCACCACCAGCAGGCGCCCTTCTTCCCCGACGCCCTCCTCCACACCGACCACCCACAGCAAGCCGCCGCCACCGCCCTCCGCATCCTCCAGCACCTCTTCGCCACCCTCAGCAGCCCCACCACCCCCCAACACTGGGACGCCCAGGCACGACACCACCTCCTCAACAACCTCCACCACCACATCCACCACCTGGAGCAATGCATGCTAGCCAACGGCATGCTCTTCAAAAGGCGAGGGCCCCGCAACCTGCTGCTCAACGTCAACAAATACTTCCGCCACATCCACGACTTCCTCCACACCCACAACCACAGCGCCTGCGCCTGGGACCACGTCCGCCTCGAAGCTCGCGTCTGCTTCCAACACGTGCACACACTCATGCGGCGGATGAAGAGCTGAGCCGCTCCTGCCCTCTGCCAAACCCACCCGCGCTGAACGCCCATCCCCAGCCAACGCCGGTGGCCACAGATCAAGCGGAGGCAGCAGCAGCCCAGGCTGGGATTGCTCAGCACTCCTCATGCCTCTTCCAGCCAGGAGCTCACGCTGATGGGGAAATGGGCATGACCACGGTGAGACTGGGGCTAGGCTGTGGCACAGCCCATGCGCCCACATCATGTCCACACCTTTGCTGGAAAGGAAGGAGGAGGAAACTGCTGTGCTGCACACTCATGGACAGCCGCAAGGTGATGGGGAGAGGGGTGGGAAGGGTGGTATTCATTACCCGCGGCATTATCTAGCCCGTCCGGACTGCGACCTCCCCTGATGGAGGGAACTCATGACAATGACTATTTATCACAGAATTCTATTTATTTATTTTGCCATTTTATTTATTTATTTATTATTTATTTATTTATTCACTTGTTGGAAATAAAGACCTTTTGCAAAAACAAAAAAGAAGAAAAAAGAAAAGAGGTGACCATCATGCATATATCTGACAGGCAAAGACAGGGTCTCTGCAGGCAGGCAGGGATGAGCCTCTCTCCTGCAGCTTATCCCACTGATGCCTCCTGCCCTGGTCGAAGGCTCTGGACAGCAGGCCACTCTCAGGACCCACCACAGTCCTTCAACCCCACAGGCATCTCCCGCTGGTGCCAGACCCTCAGAGCACACACTTGCTCAAACGACATGATAGCTGCCCTGTGTGCTCCTCCTCTCCCACCACCCACCCTCTCTCCCTTCCCAACCCTCTCCCACTGCCAAGACATGAAAGCCACCTCCAAACCACCACCCCACCACAATCAACCATTCAGCAATGCCACGGCACTGCTTGGGACCGAGCAGGGTGGCATGAACGAGGTACACCTCAAAGAGACAAGGAGGGGACCCACCAAGACCTGCAGAGATTTGGACAAGGATGCACCCCAGTGCTACTAACCCACCCAAGAAACACCAAAAAGCCACAAAAAACACAGGAGATGCCCAGGACTGCTTATTGCTCTCCTACAGCCACCACAACTGGCTCGGGACGCTCCTGCCTGTGCTCACACACCAGTGGCCATGGAGACCTGCCCCACTACATAGAGCACAGTGGCCTAGGCCTTCTTCACCCCAATGCATCCTTGGCAAACAAAAATATACATCCCCCAAACACCACCAGCCAACATGATCCAAAGCAACCAGCATAGACCAGCACAGCGTTCCCCACGAAGGAAACTGCCCATGCACCACCAGCTGCTCCTTCGCCCTCCAAGCACCACCCCAAAAAATCTGCCCTGGGTGCTTTGTCCTTCTCAGATAAGCCCAAGCAAGACAACACAAAAGTTCAGCAGCTCTGGCCTCCTCCCACACAGGACAAAGAGGCTGTTCTCCACGCTCAGTCACACCGCCTCCACCACCATGTAACTGCCAGGATACTGCTCTGTGCAAACACAAATAGACACTTCCCATGCAGCTGGAGAGCAAGAAAACAAGAGGAACCAAACATATTCAGGTACATAGCAGGACCCCTCAAGAGGCAACTTCCAGGTGGTACTACAGTCCTCCTGATGTTCCTTCTAACAAGAAATACCCTGTGATGTCAGGCAGAGAAGACCTCATTGGCTCTGTCTTCTCGGAGGTGGCTGAAGAAAGCAAACCCTCCTCAGACATAAAAACAGAGGAGGAGACATAATGACACAAGCTGGAACACAGGGAATTCAAACACGAAAGAATAAACATATAATAATCTCTATCATGAAAGTGATACACCACCAGAACAGGGATCAGGGAGGTTGTGGGATGTCCATTCCTGGAGATATATCCAAAAGCATCACTGGACAACACCATCAGCAAGCTCCTCTGACACTACCTACCCTGAGCACCAGATTGCGCTCAGGACCTCCAGAGCTGAGACCACTGAAAAAGAATTTAAAAAATAGAAAGAAATGATGCATGAACACTAATTAAATGAAAAAATGCAAGAATAACTGAGAAGTTCCAGTAGTATGAGCACATAACACATGACACAAGCATTTCACAGGCAAATACTTAAAAATGGAAAAATGGAATTGTTTCTAGAGGACTTTTTCCTCTGCACAGCACAGAGACAGTGGTTGCAAAAAATTACACAAAAGGCAAAAATAGCAAAAATCGCCCTACATGAAAAAATTTCTGGGTGCATCTCTTTCATTGTACAATAAGCAACAACTTAGAAAAGACTTATAATCCCCAATCACAAAGAGGATAAAACAGAGGAGACGGAAGCAGAGAGATGATAGAAGCTTCATCAATGAACACAGAGTGCTCAAGTCCTTAGCCAAAAACCCACGACCACAAAGGAAATTTGGACTTAGAGAGCTCCTGAGATTCCTGAGAAATACATCATTTTACAAATCTCCCCAAAATGTGAAGAGACATGATGTATTCATACGACAACAAGGATGACAAACTTACCGAAAGCAAAAAACCCACAAAAAATTCGAGGGCAATACATAAGGAAAAGAGACTTGGCCAGTAAGGGAAATTCAGTAGAACACAACAAGCAAGACAGATCGTCTGGAAGGGAAAGAAGAAACCACAAAAAAACCCACATGAGCAGCACAACTGTCCCAGATGTCGATACCCGGGCGCTTTCGCATCCAACACTCAACCACTACTGCCAACCTCCCCCCAACACGCCACCAGCAAAGCACCGCCACCGCCCTCCCCACGCACGGCCACCCCACCAACGCACTTCCCCGAGACCACCACAGCCACCAGCCAAAACCGAAAACCACAGCCGGAAACTCGCTGCAATCGGAAAGCGAGGAAGGCAAAGCCGCGGCACCACATAAAGCCGCCCGCCCGGCAGCACCCCAAGCACAGCGCCCACCCGCACCACCACCAACACACCAAG